AAGCGAAAAACCTGTAGATTTGGCCGCAACCTCGTTCGGTCTCCTGTTGTCCGGGTGGTTTGGAAAAGCAGAAGATTCCTCCTCCATCTTTGCCGACGCTGGGCGCTGGTCCCCCTGCTCCTGCTGTGCGTGTTGGGCTTGTAGATGTCTCTGAAGCGCTTTCTCTGTCCATAACTTGATCATAGTTTAAACCCTTGTGACCTGAGAATAACATTATTTAAAATCTGGTTGCTTTTCTTTCTCTTGTAAGGACGGTGAAACATGACACACACTCCAACCTAAGCTTCACTCCCAAATCACTTTTCTGTGGTTTTCATGAGGGTTCACGGAATTAAAGTAATACACTGTGAACGGCTGGGGCCCAATACTTGATGATACTTGTTCCCCCCCATCATTAAATCATTATAAAAAGGAGAGGATTTCTGTGGCTGTAAGGAAAAAAACACCTTTTGGGCAGGTTACAGTGGTGCATATTTACATCTGAAGGATACTTTTCTTCTCAGGGATAATAATCCATGAAAAAAATCATCACAGTGCATCTGCAAAATCAAGCAGAGTTTAATCCAATTCTGTAAGTATTAATAAGGAAGGCCCACACAGTGGTGCAGTGATTAGCACCACTGCCTCACAGCACTTTGGCCCTGGATTCAATTTAGCACCTGTGGTGCTATCTGCCTGGAATTTGTAGTGCTCTCCTCGTGTTTGTGCAAGTTTCCTCCCATAGTCCAAAGACATACTGGTAGGTTCATTGGCTTCTGTAAAATTGACCTTTTGGTGACTGTGTGTGCCCTGTGATTGACTGGTGTCCTGTCCAGAGTGTATACTTCTGCCAAATAATAATAATTGCTTACACTTATATAGCGCTTTTCTGGACACTCCACAGGTAATGGGGACTCCCCTCCACCACCAATGTGCAGCATCCACCTGGTTGATGTGACGGCAGCCATAGCGCTCCAGAACGCTCACTACACATCAGCTATCAGTGGGGAGGAGAACAGAGCGATGAGCGATGGGGATTATTAGGAGGTCATGATTAGTAAAGGCCAATGGGAAATTTGGTCAGAAGACTGGGGTTACACCCCTACTGTTTCGAGAAATGCCCAGGGAGGTCACAGAGAGTCAGAATCTTGGTTTCACATCTCATCCAAAGGACAGCACCTTTTTATAGTATAGTATCCTTGTCAATTTACTGGGGCATTAGGACACCAGTCCACAGCAGGACACAACACACAATGTTGTATTTCAAGGGAAA